CAGTCGCTACAAAGTTCCCTAGGAACTAGGCTGGACATGAGTACATCCTACCATCCACAGACCGACGGACAAAGTGAGAGGACTATCCAAACCTTGGAAGATATGTTGCGAGCCTGTGTGATCGACTTTGGGAAGGCATGGGATACTCATTTATCCCTTGTCGAATTTTCTTACAACAACAGTTATCACACGAGCATAAAGGCTGCTCCATTCGAGGCCCTATATGGCCGAAAGTGCAGATCCCCTCTGTGCTGGGCTGAGGTGGGTGATACCCAGTTAGCTAAAGGACAAGTTCCTGACAGCACTCTCACGGGTCCGGAGATCATTCGGGAAACGACAGAGAAGATCGTTCAGATTCGTGAACGATTGAAAGCCTCTAGAGACCGACAGAAAAGCTACGCAGATAAACGAAGGAAACCATTGGAGTTTCAGGTGGGCGACCGTGTTCTATTGAAGGTCTCACCCTGGAAAGGCTTGATACGCTTCGGAAAGCGTGGAAAGCTAAATCCAAGATACATAGGGCCTTTCGAGATTCTCGCTAGAATCGGCCCTGTAGCTTACAAACTCAACTTACCGCGTGAACTCAGTAACGTACACTCTACTTTCCACGTCTCGAACTTGAAAAAGTGTCTGTCCGACGAGACTCTTGTAATCCCACTCGACGAGATCGAGATCAACGAGAGCCTCAACTTCGTGGAAGAACCTGTAGAGATCATGGACCGAGAGGTCAAGCAAACGAAACAAAGTCGTATCCCGATAGTGAAGGTTCGCTGGAACGCCAAGCGAGGACCTGAATTCACTTGGGAACGAGAGGATCAGATGAAACTGAAATATCCTCGTCTTTTTACTACTTAATTTCGGGACGAAATTCGGGGGGATGATGTGACATTCTATTATGTATAACCATTCACTTTAATAGAAGTCAGAACTGTTTCTGCTAACTTTCAAGCTTTCTGGAGTCGGTTTGAGTGTTTTCAAGTTAGTACTTCAAGAGATATCAGGAGAAAGGATGCCCTAGGGTTTATTGTGCAACAATAAAGTCCCAAAACTCCAAGAGTTTGGAGTTTACGGCCTAAACATGGTGTTTACGGCCGTAAACCCCAAGGGTATAAATATGGCACTTAGCCATTTTTACCACTTTTTCACATTTTCAAGATCCAAACTCAAATCCTCTCAAGTATCATCCGATTTTCCTTGTTGATCTTCAACTTTGTAAGTGTTTCTAGCCCTAATAAGTTGATATCTTACTTAATCTAGTGATCTTACATGATTCCATCCGTGAAATCATTCCATATGTGTATATCTTCAAGTTTCACCAAGAACACCAAGAACACACACTAGTGTTCTTGGACTTTTAGCACACTTTCAAGCTTCTACATAGTAAGTACTCTTACCCTAGTGTGTTATAAGACTTGTTACACTTCTTAATCATCTAGAAAACACCAAGAAACACAAGATCAAAGGTGTTTACGGTCCAAGAACACCTTGGACCGTAAACCCTAATAAAGGGGCCAAAGTGTGCCCTAGTCCCTTACCAAGCCTTGGATACTAGTCTAGATACCATCCTTGATGTGCTTAGGACATAAAACATCAAAAAGACCATAAACCATTAGGGTTTACGGCCGTAAACCCAAGGAGAAATGGTCCATGGACCGTAAACCCCACAAAGGGGTGAAATGGTGCCTAATCACTTCCAAAGGCTTAGACATGAAGTAGAAATGCTTCTTATGACCTTATAAGCTTCAAAACACAACATGGTAAAAGTACCATGAGTTTACGGCCGTAAACTCATGGGTTTACGACCGTAAACTCAAATGGAGTTGGTCCCAAAACCGTAAACTCATAAAGAGTTTACCCTTGGACCCTAAACTCAAATACAAGGTCCTACAACCCTTAGATGCAATCCTTAGGACTTATAACACTTAAATCAAGTGTTTTACATGTCTTAGGATGTCTAAACTTGGTTAATTAGTTGTTTAATGACTAATTGGATACATATATGTGCTATTATATGTTAACTAGGATCCTTGTGTGTGTTCAAGTCTTCACTTGACACTTAGCATCCTATACCATCCGTTCATCCAAACCACTCACTACAGGTGAGTTCATACCCCTTAATCAATCCTTTTAAATGATTTTAAATGCTTTTATGGGGGGGGGGGGGGAATACAAGTAGAAAACATGAAGTTATAGAATCAATCACATGTGATTTATAACTGTGTTTTCAACCAACTAATTTCACATACTTCAAAATGTGTTAAATACAATGGTTTTCAGTTATTTTATACTTTGTTATCAAACAAACTTCTTTTGAATCATTTTATAAACTGACATCAAGTCATTATTACTTATTGTTCAAAACTCTTAAATGTATTACAAAACCTCTTTCAACTTAGTGTTAAAAACCATATCTATACACTTATGTTTCAAGTATATATGTATTTATATGAGAGCTTTCATTCTTTATTCAGTTCCAACACTCTTGAGTAGCAAGGGTGTATAAACCTACTTGGACATTCAATCTACATTCCAGTAAACTATTATAGGTATAGTTTAGGAGATACAAATTACTATTCCTAATACAAGGAATTACACAAGAGTCAGTTCATTCATGAGTCTATACAAATATACTAAATACTATATGAAGAGATACTATTACATGCTATACAAAGAGAAATACTATATACTATACAGAGAGAGATACTATATATATATACTATACGGGACTGACCATCCTACACCTGGCTGCTAGCTACAGCGGGACCTGTTCATCGACGGATGTTCTCGGTTGTACTGTTCGGCGAGTTTCCACGCCGTGATTATCCTAAGGCAAAAGGATACGATTTCAATGATTATATAATTTTCCCTATTACTTTTATTTTGTGACACATTCACATAAACGATGAGGGAGACTATATTTTTATAATAATAGTTGTACAAGGGAAAAACCTTCATTGATACAGAAATGCAAACCTTCAAAGCATTCGGGTCTTGGTAGAAGACTACCTTTTATACTAGTAGGAAATATGGGATTTTCTAGGGTTTTCACACTTATACTAAATGTTCCATTAAACATTGACAAGTCTTTCATAACAGCTTTACAAAATCAATGACACTAAAATACTTATGAATTCACCAGCTTTATGCTGATCTACACTTTCAAAATAACTTGTATTCTCAGGTCACCAGTAGACAGGTACGATGACCAGGTTTTGAGAAGACGGAGCACAGACAAGACTCGTCTTTTATTTTGATTACATATTTTGGTGTCTTATTACTATGAAAGAACACTCATGTATTAAAACTTTACTTTTAATGCAATGGATGATGTTGTTGCTTGTTTACTACTTTGCACTGTTATGATACTTTACATGACGTCCTCCACCCCTGAACGTTTCCGCCGTTCTTGGTCTTGGGGTGTGATAAGATCTATGGCCAAAATTTTACTAGGAGCCATAAAGTTTCCAACTTTATGACCTTGCATGCTCAATAAGTGCTTAAAACACCAAAACTCCACATCTTAATGCATTAAGTCCTTCAATATCATGCATGGGACAAAACTAACCATTAAGACTCCATTTTTATGGCTTAAGACCCTTCCTAAGGTCTGAAAGGACAGCTTAACAGGTCAAGAACATGCTATGTTCATGAATCTCCATATTTGGGACAAAAGGGCCAAAAATCAACCCAACACAAGATCTAAATGAAACTTCACCAAGTTTAGGACTTTATACCTCCAAATGATGCCAAAAGGTGGTGAGATTCTGGATCTAAAGAACTTCACTCCTCCAAGATGGTCTCCACTCCTTTCTTTCTTCTTCAAAGGCATAAAACACACACACTTAAGCTTAGAAATGCTTCACAAGATGGATTATGGTTGCAAGAACATTTTAAGAGGATGAAGGCTGATGAAGTGAGGGGAAATGAGGCTATAATGGGGTTTAAATATGCGCCAAACCCTAAAAATTAGGGTTTGCATGTATGGTACGTACACCCTAGTACGCTCCGCGTACACACGTACGCATGGCGTACTCCCCCAAAACCCAATTTACGAAAATGCCACTAGGGCCCTCATTGCACTCTTTCTTTTACTTAGGGTCCAAATTGCAATATAAATAAATCATAGGGTCAAAATTAGAAGTACCTCATCATCAGGATGTTACAGTTAGTTTAGGAGTTTATTATATTTGCCGGTAAAAAAAGGAAAGTCATTACATTACACGTTAGGAAACGTCTATATACAGTTCAATTCTAGGTCTTTTGAGCTTTTTGTTGATATCGCATATACGTATTTGGTACAGTACTAATTTCGGGTTCGGGAAATGATTTTGGTTGCTAATCCCTAGACCCTAGATGTAACGATGTTGATTGCAATGGGTATGACTGTAAACGAACTGAACGTTCAACGAATTGTTTGTGAACCGTTCGACGAGAAAGTTCGTTTATGTTCGTTTATTTAATAAATGAACGAACATGAACACAAATTTTCGTTCGTTTAGTTAAACGAACAAACATGAACAATGACCTCGTTCGTTCAATTATGTTCGTGAACGTTTGTTTATATTGTTCGTTTACGGTCGTTTATGTTCGTTCATATAAGTTTTTTTATGTTCATATATGCTTAATTGTATTTGATTTCATTTGTGTTCATACATTTTCAATTATGTCTGTTTATCTTTGTTCATTTATGTTCGTTTAGCATGTTCACGAACATAAATGAACAAACATGAACGATGTAATTTGTTAAACGAACATGAACAAGAATACTTGTTCATTTATCCGTTCGTGTTCGTTCGTTTGTTCATTTGTTTACTAACTTAAACGAACGAACAAACATGAACAAATCTCCATTCATATTCGTGCAGTTTGTTTATAGCCGTAACAATGGTCACCATTTAATTTTTTTTTTTTGATGGCTTTTGTTTTATACGTGACCCGTTCTGTGTACAAGTCTCATGGCTCACGTGATGTGCATGTGATGTAGGGTTTTAAGCTGTATCGAAGGTTTTTGTTATGTTCACCGACCTTCCATTCGACGGGGGTATGGCACGGTGATACGCAAAAACTGCCTCCACCATGAAACCTCTCTCTTCCATCACCATCTTCCTCTGCTCTTCCTCACGCCGTCTCTTCACCCATACAACACCACTACCGTTCCTCAATTATGAAGCTGAAAAACTCCTCGGAATCTCCCATTTCTCAACCTCATCGCCGGACTCAGCCTCCTCTTCCTATCATTCATCTTCAAGACGCAACCCTGATGATGTTAGAAACGTCAGGGTTTCCGTGTGGTGGGACTTCGAGAACTGCTCTGTACCTTGTAACGTTAATGTCTACAAAGTTACTCAATGCATAACTGCTGCAGTCAGATCAGTTGGTATTAAGGGACCAATCCAAATTACGGCGTTCGGTGACGTTCTTCAGTTATCTAGGTCTAATCAGGAGGCGCTCTCTTCCACAGGGATCAACCTCACTCATATCCCTCATGGTTAGATGCTTCTCTTCTTTTATTCATTTTGTTAACTCTCCATCAATTGCAAAATTACTCTCCCCTTGTAAATTTGCCTCTAATATAGATCAATTAACTATACAAGGTGCAATTTGATGGTTTTGTTCCATTAGAACAGACGATTTTAGACGGGATCTATACAATGTGTAACCATCTTTTCTTTTGTGTCATACAGGAGGGAAGAACAGTGCTGATAGGTCTCTTCTAGTGGACCTCATGTATTGGGTTTCTCAAAATCCACCACCAGCACATCTTTTTCTAATTTCCGGGGACAGGGACTTTGCTAGCATATTACACCGATTAAGAATGAACAATTATAACATATTGCTTGCTAGTACAGAAAATGCTCCTGCAGTTCTTTGTAGTGCTGCAAGTATCATGTGGCAATGGCCAGCAATGGTGAAAGGAGAAAATCTAAGTGGAAAACATTTTAATCAACCTCCAGATGGACCTTATGCTTCATGGTATGGCCATTATAGAGTTCCTCTTGAGGACCCTTTTGCAGTTTGTAACCATGTTTCTAACCAAACTTCATCTGTGCAACCAGAGGAGGAACCTCGTCCAGTTCCAAAGGCAGTTGTGAATGTGATACGTAATATAATGAATTCATACCCTAAAGGGCTTTCAATTACAGAATTGAGAGCTGAATTGGGGAAGAGTAATGTTACTATTGAGAGGGATTTATATGGTCATAAGAAGTTCTCCCGTTTTCTCATGGCCATGCCACATTTGTTGAGGCTTCAATTTGAAAAAGATGGGCAATATATTATACATGGGATTACCCCAAAAAACCGTGAAACATCTGTGTCTACTCCTGATACATCTACTGCTCCTAATATGAGTGCAAAAGACTCTGTTCCTGTCACTTCTGTGCCTCATAAGGAGGAAACATTGGCATCATCATCCAAATTACAAGTCCCAAAGGTTTCTACAGACTCATTACCACTTCCAGAGGCACAACAAGTTAAAGAACAGTCTCCTGTTATTGAAAAGTCAAAAGAAGGTGAAGTGAGCCTTGGTCATCAGCTGTATCCAGTAAAGATGAAGAGCCAGACACCTGAAGTGGGAGTTTTGAAGTCTATCTGGAGGAAATGGTTTGGGGGTAATGATGGTTATCAAGATAAGATGACTCCTATTAATGAGTGTTCTACTTCAAGAAATAGCACTGATACAGTAAATGCTGATGCAAAAGATCAATCTTCCCCTTCTTTATCAACTAATGAAGTGATTCAAGATGCAGAGAACAAGCCTCATGGTATCTTGAATCAGTTTGTGAGTTGGTGTAAGTTTTGGAAAAATGATAAGAAGTCTGATAATCTTGAAGCAGAATTAAGTAAAAGTGATAAAGAGATACCGAGTCATTTAGATATGCAGGAAATCTTTACTGAATCTTTTTGGAATGACATTTTGACATTTTTAGAAACCTCCAAAAATTCAGCCTCAGTTTTACAATCCAAGACCAGGTGCATGCTTCTCTTATTTCCATAGTTATAGTTACTTACCCATAATTATAATTAATTGAATTGTTTCATGTTCTTTTTGTTTTCAATTAGGCACGAAATGGGACAAAAGTTACAGCAATTTGGTCCTTCTCAACTCCAATCTCTAAGCGAAAAAGACATTCTACACCTTGTTGAGTTACTGATTTCTGAAAAGAAATGGGTGGTGGAAACCCCATCTCACACTTTCCCATTCAAACTCGTTACACCTTCAAAAACCACTTCTCCAACCAAACCTTCCATTTTAAAGGAATTCACAGAATCCAGCAATTCACAAGGGCAAGAACGTCAAATCAAGAAAAGAGTCTCTCCAAAAACCCGAAGTCAGATACTAAGTCATTGCCAAAAGCTCGTGAACGAGGTCGTTAAAGAACACCCTAAAGGTTACAAACTTAGCAGCTTTAAAAAACTGTTTCTTGAAAAATACGGGTACCCTTTGGAAGTTCAACAGCTTGGTTATCAGAAACTAGCCACTTTGCTTCAGATAATGCCAGGGGTAAAGGTGGAATCAAGTTATATTCTTCCATCTGGTGAGCATTTCCGTTCAGAAAACCGTAAATCAGAGGAGGAGAAAGATAATGATACAAAATGGGAAGAACTGGGACCGATTTCAAGTACTAAGAAAGATCATGACTTTGAAAGCGTGTCAGATAATGACATGTCTGATTCAGAAGAAGAGAACAGTTGTCAGAAGGGTAAGAGGGAAGAAAATAGCAGCTCTTTATTGCAGATACTTGATTCATGGTATAGTAACAAAGAGGATAATTTGAATTCAGATCATTTGAATAATGGAAAGAAGGGTGAAGGGAATGACTGGGCACAGAAGGAAAAGCCTGTGAAACAATACTCATTTGTGACAGATAAACCCAGGAATGAGAAGGAAAATAAGATAGATGGCATATTGGTTAATTTGAAGAAATTGGGTAATGGTGCACAAGAATCAAAAATTGAAGGCTGAAAGATAAAATGAGGTATTGTTAAGATTTTAAATGATGAAAACCATATTTTTGTTACCCATTTATAATATCTTGATTCTATTAACTATTTAAGGTTTTAGTAGGCATAGAGTAGAAGCACTGATCTATCGAGAGATATAGAGATTGTATTTTTGATGTTTGAGCTTCAGTATAATCTGAACTTATGCATTGACAACTTGTTTCAGTTGCCTTGACAATATATATATATATATATATATATATATATATCTATATATATATATATATATATATATATATATATATATATATTTATTATCATCTTTGTGCTTGGATTTTTCTTGATTTTACTTCCTTCTTTGTTTTGGGATATTGTGGTTTACTTTTCTATGTTGATCGGTGTGTTCTCGCTAATCAATTTAATTAACTCAACGATTATTTGGTCTTTGTATGGATCTATTAGTTTCAGCTCACGTTGGCGTTAAAGCCAGTGTGTTTGATGTCTTTCTAAATAGCAATTATTACTTAGAGCTATAATAAGATTTAATTGTTATTGTCAATGAAATAGAAACCCAAAGGGTCTCACCCTTTGTGCGTGTTGTTTAATTAGGATTAACAATTGTTTTATAGTTTTGTTAATCAGATTAATTAAACAAATATTAAATGGTACCAAGGTTTAATGATGAGAAGAAAAAAAAAATCCGTAAGCCCAAAAGAAAAAAGAATTTGTAAGATTTTTTGATTTGGGACAAAGTCAATCTCGTATAAAACCCTAATGTTTCAAGGTTATGTTTTTTTTTTTTTTTTATCTTAATTTGTATTTACTTAAATAATATTATAAGTCTCCACTAAACTGTTATTTGTTTATATACTAACAAAAACAAACATTTTATGTTTACAACAACACTATTTTTAATATTCTATAAATATAATATTTATAGGCATTCCATTTTAATAATATACATAATCTTTTATTTTTTTCATCAATTGGTCTAAAATTGTTCTTACATCCATAAAGTAGATATCATTCTCTTGAAATTGTGAGTGTGAGTTATACGGTTTTTAATATGATTTCGTATTCCTATGAGCATGTCATACTATGACTTATAATTTTTTTTAAATGGTCTAATTTTACTACCTACGAAATGTATTTTTCTACGAATGATATTGCAATTTATGTTCTTTAATTTTATCATTCTCGTGAGAATGGATCAAATTTGGTGGAATTTATAATACGTATTCTATAATCTAATTCTTGATAACTTCAATAGAGAATGAGTTTCAGTAGAGACTAGAATCAAATAGGGATGAATAGATTGTGTCAAATCTCGATCCCGTACCGAAACCGGTATCGAATTTAAAAATATGAGACGATACTCGGTACTCCAAAATCATGAAATTCGGGATTTGGTACCGCCTGGTACGAGTAACGAAAACCGGTACCATTTCCGGTACCGTTACTGGTAAAGTTAATACCAGTAAGGCTTCTTAATATGCTAGAAAAGCCCTCAAATCCACCCAAAAGAGATCTAGAATGAAACGAGGTTAAGATAACGGCTTAATACCTTCCAATGGATGCCAACTGAGGTAGATCTCTGATTCCCACACGTTCCTTGCTTCTATTCACTTGCTCTCCAAGCCTTTCTCACCAAAATCCTCTTCTAAATCTTAAAACACACAAATGGAGCACACTCACACGAATTAAGTTTTATGGAATATCAAGAGGCTGTAAGGGGAGGCTGAGGAGGCCAATGATCCTTTAAATAGGGTGCAAAGCCCCGGAAATTAAGGTTTTATCCTCCAGCTCCTACTCGTCGAGTCTTATCTTGGACTCGGCGAGTAGGTCACTTAAACATGTGGCCCAACCCGTTGCTACTCGACGAGTCAGGCATCCAACTCGTCGAGTAGACCTTGAATTATGAAAATTAAAACCATAAATTAATACTTGAGAATCGGGGCGTTACACCCAAAAATATATATAATTTATTTTTTAGCATTCACAATGTGAAGTTGTGAATTTAGAAATTTTTAGTTTTTTTCGATAAACAATAAACTCTAAAACTTGGAAAAAAAAATTTGGTTCCTTGGAGAACCAATAATTATGATTCTTTATTGAATTTTTCCATATATATCTATTGAACTTTTCCATATATATATACAAAAGATCAAATGAGAACAACTAAAGGTTAAGAACCATGTTTATTAAAGTATAACACAAGAACTCACTTTTATCTTTTGTTATATCTGATCTACACACTACATACACTCTCACATTGTTATCTTCTCTCTCATCTCAAACTTGAAGAACACACAAACATTACCACCAGTTAGCCACCAGCCACCACCTTTGACTGCCGCCACCTCCTACCGCCAGTGAACCGTCGCCACTTCTTACCACCGACGAACCACCGCCAAATCTACAAATTCAACTTCTGATATGCTATTTTACTCTTCAGATCTACAATTTCAGCTTCATATCTGTGATTTCCCTCTTCAGATCTATGAGTTTTGTCTTCAGATCTACTATTTTTGATTTCAAATCTTCGATTTTCTCCTCCAGATCATGAGCTCCAACGAGTGGTGATAACCACCACATTCCTCCATCACTGTCACCGCTAATTCATCTTCCATGTTATTACCCTACCACCAACAAAAACACAAAGCTGACAAGATCCGATGAAAATACCTCCATATCCACCGTCGATCGCCACCTGGTCTCAGATCTGGAGTCAAGAAGTTGTTTTAGCTTCACTTTCTCTTTCTAAAATGTAAAACATATCAGATCTGGTGCAATTTGGTCTCTCACTAGACTAGTTTCTTAAGTTGTGAATAAGTGTTTTTTACTATTTTTTAAGTTATTAATGCATGGATTTTATACATATCTGACTGTTTCAATTAAAATAAGTTTTTAATGTGTGAATGCATGATTTTTTTTATAAGTATTAAGTTTTGAATGCATGATTTTTTGTAAGTGTTAAGTTGTGAATGCATGATTTTTTTATAAGGTTTAGTTGTGATTAAATGAATTTTTTAGACAAAATTAAAAAAATGGTCCATATGGTTTGCCAAAAGTAACAAAGTTAGTCCCTGTTATTTTTTTTTGATGCAAATGACCCTTATGGTTTGCAAAACTTGCACAAATGGCCCTTTTTACTAATGTCGTTACTATTCAGCTGTTAGGGACTGAATCTGTAAGGGCATTTTCGTCTTTTCAAGTATAAAGGGACTGAATTCGTGACATTTTTGGTAAACAATAGGGACCATTTCTAAAATTTCTATAAAAAAGACAATTCAATTGCTAGTGGGAGGGCTCAAACTCATGACCTCCACCCCCTTAAATTATCAAGGCCTTAACCAATTGAGCTGAATAAATTGATGAATCAATGAATCGACTAATGAATTAATCAGAGTATGAATTCAAGTAAGAATATAAGATTTGAACATAGGATGTAAATATGATCTTGTTATGCTCTATTATGCTTTCGAATTCTTTACAGAGTATAGTAGACAAGTCTGTAAAAGTTCTTATCTAACTCTAGTAAATAACCCTATTTATAGGGAACTGAAAGCATACAAAAAATATACTAAGGCATTGACTCTAAAGCTTCGAATAAAAGCGCCCTAGTAAAATACATTACAAAACATTCGAAGAGTCCAAAACATACTTCGACTAATTACAACAATTCGACCCTTACAATCTCCCCCTTTGTAATCATAATCGAAGTCTTCAATTTGTAAGAAGTGTGATGAAATACAGTAATACTCTTCGAATCTCCGTGCACCAGGAAATAATCTTCTTCAGCTCTTTCTTGTCACCTTCATTGTTCTTCTTGCAATGATTCATACGAACAATCAAGTTCGTATATTGAGATGTTGAATATCTCTCGACTTCACTTGCTTGGAATAAGAACCGTTTAGACTTTCCAGCTTTGTCTTTTCCTGCGAAGACAATTCCAAAAGGCTTCATGCAAATTTCACCATCAGCATACTTCTTCAGTTCCGCCTGAGTCTTCGTAGGAGCCATCGGAGCTTTAATTTCCATTCCTTTGGCAGTAGCTAATTAAACATCTGTTAGTGCCAAGCACTCATAATAGTTTTCGATAAAAATCTTGATGTGAGCTACTCCAAGCTTGAATTCATCTGGTTCTGTGTTTTGAAGGTATGAGAATGATTTGTCTTTCAAAAGTAATGCAACTTGTATAAGATCATACAAGTTCATTAATGGAAAATCTGCAACAGTGAATTCACAAATATTTCCATTTGCCCTGGCAACCACATACTTAACATTTTGGACTGTGTTTTCGAAAACCACATCCTTTTTCATACTATGACCTTCTTGATTTTTTTAAAGACCAAACTTCCTCAGGGGCTTTTCCAAGAACAGCATGAAAACGAATTTTCATGTGTGTACCTTCATCTTTATTTTTAAAATTCCCTTCTGCTTTGAACTGAGGCATGATAAACATCATTTCGTTTATGGGAAAATCCAGCTGGCCTGCATCAGTATTTGTGACCAAATAACTCTGCTTTGGTTTCTTCTCGAATGTATACATGTGATTAAAAGCAACCTTGGCCTCAATTGTTTCGTAATTATAATGTTTGGCTGGATCACCTTTATCCATTCCCTTCGGATCACTAGCACGCTGAGTCATAATACTTTGAATAATCCTCAGTTTTTCAAGTTCAGCTTCTACTTCAGCCTTCTTTTCCTCTTTCGATTTTTCCACTACAATTGATTTGCCTTTATCTTTCAAGGCTTGATTGTCAATTGTCTCTTTTGGTTTTGAACCACTCCCACCAGTCTCCGAAGATTTACCAATCATAATTCCTTTCGAAATTGGTCTTGCAATTGGCATTGTTGTTACAACAGTTGAAGTAACAAGTTCAGCAGAAACTATTACTGGTTTTGTTGTTGGGATTTTCGAAGAAAAGACTTTTCCCACAACTTTCGCATCTTCTCCACTAGTCTTCGACTCACTAGTTTTTCTTTCTCCCCTTGCACCCCTGTGAAAACAGGCGGGGC